GTTGCAGAATCGATTGAAAGGTGTTATATGATCATGACCAGTTGACAGAAGCTGCATTGTAGTAAACACATTTTGCCCAGGGCTTTCCTTCACGGTTGTCGTTTTTGCGACAGGGTCCCTAACAACAGTGTCATTCTCAGCGAGGTATTAAGGGAGAAGGAGCGAGCGATAGGCGGAGGAGGTGCCTTTGCAGCGCGTGTGCACATATGAAGTCGGATATACAAGGATATATCGGATTTCCACAGATATAGTCGTGATACGGTACCACAAATACTTTCTGCCGCCACGCGGGTCTTTGATCTCCGACCTCAAACTTGGGTAATTAAACTTTATTCAAGGAATTTTAATCAAATTACATCACTAAATACTAAAATAATGCTATATAAGGCTTCCAGCGACAAATGGTCACCTAAAATCTACCTTTCTTCTGCTGCCGCTTCTATAGTGCAGGTTCTAAGCGGATAGGCAGCCTTATAGTGCAGTGATAGTGCTCCTGAAGATCTAATTTACAAGCAGAGACCAAAAGCTTAGATGAGAAAAAAGTAGGAAGAAAAATGAGTCACCTACGAGCTTCTCCGCCCCGCTTATATGCAGGCACCGCACAAGAATTTTCAACATCTCGGAAGGCTTCTATCCGATAAGCGCCTACGACATAGAGAAAGAGTACAGCAATCTTTCAGAAACAGAATAAGAATGTAAAAGCAGATGGATATAGATAAGCTTATGCCACAACATCGAGAAAACGACATGGGAATCGTATAGCTCAATCAAAGAACGAACAATGTTAAGTGAAATACTGAATATGTTCAGTATACTCCAGCCCGGCCTAAAGAAGCGCATCAGTGGTCCTTCCTTGTGGAGCTGGTCGACCAATCCCTATCTCTCTTTGATCCTCGCGACATCGGTGACGTCTCTCTGGCGTGCGATGGACCTGGTTGAGCAGACATTTCCTCCAAAAGCTGGAAATAGTGCTCAATGTTCGTCCTCACTGCTCTCCTCCTTCTTAGTGCAGACGCAAACTCTTCCGGCTTCGTGCATATGCTGGCGTGGTGGTCTATTTTTTCGGGAGGTGGCTGTCGGCTGTTCCTGCAATAGAAGCAATCTGGCTCTTCAGTGCACTTTCCTTCATGCTGCTCCAGGCACATGTTGCATCGCTTCTGTGAATCGAGCAGATGCTTCCTCTCTCTCACGGTACGGACCCTTGGACAGGCGTCAGAGTAGTGTTTCCCAGCTTCCGTGCAGTATGCGCACATCATGGTTCCTTCTCTTTTCCTCATCCTCCTTGGCCCAAAATACCTTTCCCGAACAACATTTGCCTCGATGAAATCTTCCAATTTCTCCAGCTCGTCCTTGGTAGTACTTCAAGTGCTTTTCATAGTCATTTCTTCGATTCCGTTCTTCTTCTTCCTTTCTCCGGTCTCGTTCGTCCTGGTCCCTTCTTTCGAAACACTTTTCGATCTTATACAAAGTGGCTGCGTGCTTGTCGTTGATGCTTTCCAGAATTCGAGTTGCGCGTCGACCCAGAGCACCTTCTACCGACTCGATACGCTCTCTCAGCTGCTCCAGCTGGCCATGAACTTCGTCCTGAAGTTGCTCGACGGTGCGACGTAGATCTTCCAAAAGTCGATCTTCGTGCGTGGCCGCTGCCTGGGCATGAGCCTTCGCGTGGTCAATTGCGACCTTTTCTTCATGCATCAGAGTATCGAACGCAATCATTTGGTACTGCACCATCGTCGTCACGTTACGTTTGTTGTAGTCTCGGTGAACCTCCACTGGATCAGGATAACCCCGTTCTCCAGGCTCTGTTGGCTCGTAACGTACTTCGTCGCTGAGCTTGCGCAAAAAGTCGAGTCTGGTTAGTTCTTCTACTTCGTCCGCTGCAACTAGTATTTCATACCATTCATGGGCCAGAACAAAATTCTCCACATCCGCAAGAATTTCTCTTTTTTTGTATTCGTGTTTGCTATGTAGTTGCTGCATCTTCACGAGGAAGTGCAGGGGTCCGCCTCGACGATTCAGGAGATCTTCTTTGCCGGCCATCAAGTTGACGAATTCGTAACGAGCTTGCTGAATAGGTGGCGTTGCATTCGAAACACTTGTCGCCGTAGCTTTTGCTGAATCAAGGATTCTGAAGGCCGTGCTGGAGATTTCTCTACAATTTCGATCTTTCTTTTCAGTTCTCTTCGGAGTCGTCGCTCGTGATCGGAAGATGACGCCATTCTGAAAAATTAGATTTTTTTTCCCAAATTAATATGCATGTATACATATATGTACATTCACTCGTGCATTTGGCGGCGCTTCTCAGAGATTTTTCCCTTCAAACTTCATATGCACGTTCGTCTTGTGCCTCAGAATTAGTCGAAATGGCATGCAGACGACTAGTGCGATCAAGCGAGCGATTATGCAGACTATCTTCAGTTGGAAGCGGAGAATACCTTTGATAATCATGAGGAAGATAGTGCTTGAGATGCAAGCGTAAGTAGCTAGCACTGCGAGGATCAACCCTACAATGGTTAGAAGTAGAGTTCCGGTCCAATGTAAGAAGACATCGAGCATGTGACTGAAGTCCGGCAGGTTGATTTCGGAAAAGACTTCGCTCTCTCCATTGATTAGACGTTTTACAGTCATACTCATACTTCCTGTGTAACGCAAAATTCCAGAGATTTCGAAGGAATGTTGTCGCTGACCACAGTAGACAGTACAATTCGTTAGAATTCCGCAGTCTCTGAATAGAAGCGAATCTTAGACGTCGAACCTTCTGCTGTACATGGGACTGTAAACGCAGATTCTCCACACTGTATTTCGGCCATTTCTCGAAGCGTTGACGACTTGCAGGTTATAACGGCTTCGGCACCTTTTGCGCATCTGTAGCATCCTTGGCAATGAGTGTCCTCAACCGTACAAGTTGCTGATGAAACGAGCGATGTTGTACGAAATTTTCCTTGTATTTTTAACACGAATTCAGCTGTTGGAAGCTGTGGGATTCTTGCGATGAGCTGATCCTTATGGGTGTTTAGTACAACGCCTGGACGAAGTAGAGGTATCCGGTGATCGCTGTTCAGTATATGAGACGTTAAATTAACGTTCCTACAGTTGCATCGCATTTTCACCTCAGCTGGTGTGCACGTGCAGTCTTCAACAACCTCACAGGTCATATTGAGGGCGTCTTTCCAGGTTCTGCACTGCAAAGGAGGTAAGAATTGCCTCGGAGCTATGGCTGTTTGAACTCCATTACTTAGGAATATTCCGTCCAAGATGGGTGTGGGGGGTAGCCCGAGGGATGTAAGCGTGATGGATAACCATGATATTATCTTCGGCTGGTTAGGGATGAGTCGAAGCTGGAGTTCGCGTTCAGAGTTCCTTCCGTCCCGCAGTGTCATTCTGAGGTAAACCTGTTCTCTCCATCGGGAACACCTATAGAACTCATAGATGTCGTCATTGTCCGGCACGAGATAGATTCTGTAAAAAAGACACCCGGAGCTTGGCCACCAACAATCACAGCCCAGTCCACCGCAGCTCTCTACGCAACCTGTAACTCCGGCAAACTTGTTCGCCTCCTTTAGCTCCTTAATCATAGTCGAGCGATTGACTGCTGCACATTTTTCTCCTTTACACGACCCCACGCGCGCACATCGTTTACTGTCCAGTAGGCCGTAACTCGTACTTCTGGTGTACAGTATCGTATCCTTCTCGCAGATAAGTTGAAGATCACTCCATAGTAAACGTACTTCTGTCACTGTCGAATCGTTCGCTGTTAGGCGCAGGCAGGCTTCTTTTTTGAATGGGTTTATCTTCAGTACTTCCGTGGTATCGACTGAGCATGTGACCGTTGCTTCCGTGTAATGGCAAAAATGCGTATTTTGATGCAGTACGTTGACGTCTTGGCACTCCATCGTCGCTTTTAAGATCAGAAGGAAGATGACCATTTCTGACCAAATATGTCGTCTTCTGCGATGACGTGGCTGTCCAAGTAGACATTGAGCGAGGTTCCACAAAACCGCTATGCAAAAGGCACAGATTGATTTGACGAGTACTAGTCCAAGGGTTCCGGCGATCCGGGCCAGCTCCAACAATGGTTTTCCGAGGGTCAGTGGTACGGCGAAGAAAACGTAGCACATCAGAAGTAAGAGATAAATCAATAGTCCGATCCCCGCTAATGCCGATCGCGGCCAGCACTCTGGATTCGCGATATTTTCCACACATAAGGTGCAGTCGATACTCGAGCAGAATGGTGTAGATTGGCATGAAGCTTCAATGATATCGATTTCCTGACCTCTTGCGATTTTCCATTTCACGGCATAGTCATGCACGGTTATTTGGGGAGGGAACTTCACAGTTTCGGTGGGGTGGGGTGAGGGAAAGGAAAGGCAGTAAGTCTCGGCGCATATATCGTACGGGGTGTTATGGTACTGTAGAAGTTGGACACCCCCCTCGATGCAGAGAAGTTGGTGCGTGTCGCTGTAGTTGCCGCCAGCCATACTACTCGGGATCCAGATGAGGAGAAGAACAACGATCCAAGGCAGGCTCCTCGCGATGTTCATTGTGATGGAGGGTGATCGCGCGTCGTCAGGACCTTCATCGTTTTCCTCCTTGTAATCGACCGGTTTCCTTTTCCGTAGGTTATATCGCGTGGTCGCTGGTTGTTCCAGAATTTTCGTCGTTGTTGGATCAGGATCCGTCGTCCTCGCAGACAAGTCCATTTCAATCGGATGAGTATTTGGTTCCGGATCCGACACAGAATTTTCACAAGAATCGACTTCCAGGGGAATCACTCTGTTTACTGGACGCCGAACAAGATGTTTGCTTGGTAGTTCCACTACGACCTCTCTCACGGAGCCTTCCACGTCTGGTCGTAACTGCACGATTCGCCCAATGGTCCATGTATGTATTTCTTGGCTGCGTTGGTTCCCATAGCAAAACTACAGTGCCTTCCAACGGCTTCGAGTTCGTTCCTCGTTTAGTATCCATTCGCTGTCTGTGGTGTTCTCTCAGACTTGTGAGGTATCTTTTGCTCCATAATCTCCAGAACTTCTCAGTTAGTGTGAAAGACGATTTCAGTGCCTTTTCGACTTGGAGTTTGGTCGCCAGTTGTTTCGCTTCTTCGGGAGTATGGTATACCGGGTCATGGTTGTCGAAACCTACATACTCCAATGGGAAGTCTAGTTCTATATCCTTCTGGAGGAAATCAATCGGACGTACTGACGGTTGTTGTTCCCATCTTTCTTCTTGATAGGTTAACGGCCTCGAATTTGATACTGCCTCGATTTCGGTGAGCATGGTTCTTAGGACGTCAAATGAGACTCTTTGCTTCCCCAGCGCTTTGTACAACGATAGTTTGATGGAACGTATCAACCTCTCATAAAAGCCACCCTGCCACGGTGCAAATGGGGTGATGTGGATCCATTCAATTTCTCGTTGTGCTAGGGCCCGTTTCATTTGGGTATCCTCCGCCATGCGTTCCACAGCGTCGTGTAGTATCTGTTCTCCGAGGATGAACGTAGGAGCGTTGTCACACGTGATTGTTCTTGGCACTCCTCTCCTTGCAAAGAAGCGACGTAAGGCGTTCAGGAACTTCTCGGTACCCATGTCCTCCACAAGCTCTAGATGAACCAATCGTGTAGTTGCACAAGTGAATATGCAGCCATACGTTTTCTCCTGGTCGCCTGTTGACGAGTAGGTAGCGAGCGGTCCAAAGTAGTCCAGTCCTATGTGTTCGAAGGGTCGCGTTCTCCGCACACGCCTCTCAGGAAGGTCTTTCATGTCCGGGTATTGGTACGGTAGATTGTTGAATTTCTGGCAAGTCAGACATCTTCTTATTATTTGGCTTACTTGCTGACGAAGCTTGGGTATCCAGTATGTTTCCCTGACTGTGGACATCGTATGTGAGACTCCTCGATGGTACTGGCCGTGAGCTTCCCATATGATTAAACGAGATAAAGCCGTCTTCGGTGCTATGTAAATCGGTGTGATCGCTGATGCTGGGATATCGGCATGTTTGAGTCGACCGTAGCATCGAAGTATACCGTCTTGATCGGTCCGAATGTTCAGATCTTTTAAAGACTTGATGCAGTGATCGTTCACTATGGTCCTTTGGTGATCTCGTATGATGCATTTTTTTGCCTCACATATCTCAGCTCCTGTAAGCTCGTGTTTCGATGATGCCTTTTGGAGGGCCGGTATGTGCTCGAAAATAGATTGACGTCGAGCAGTTGGAAAATGTTGTAATGTCCTTCTGAGGAATCTGGCAACATAGGCAACTACTCGTTCCGCTTTATGGAGAGTACTGTAGCGAGACAAGCGGAATAGTGTTCTTTCGTCAGCTTCCCTTTCTTTCTGTGACAGCGTCAAGGCTATTGTGACGGGGGCAGATATATCCTCCTCAACATCTTCTACAGCAGCGTCGAGTGGAAACATTTCGTCGCACTCCTGCTTCTGCATCGAGCCGTTCTGCAGGAAATGGTGGACCCACCCACCAGAAGTGGTCCTTGCATGCACTCGCTGACAGCCCCCTGGTAGCGCAGTCGGCTGGATTCAATTTCGACGGGGACGTATCCGAAGAGACAATCCGTTCCGCGCGCCTTGATATCGTCTACAATGGCTCTCACTTCCTTCAGACGATTAGTTACAAGTACTCCCACGGTTTGGCGATCCGGCGGTGTCTTGAGCCACCCCAAAACGATCTCAGAGTCAGTGTACAGAACGATCTGACGTATCGGTTGTGTAGAACATAAGGAATCGTGGACAAAGTGCGCTAATCGGGCTCCCAATGTCAGCGCATTCATCTCTAACATGGGGATCGTGATGGCCGTTTTCAGCGATGGTAATTTCGATTTCGCCATTCCCAGTTTAGCGCCGCGTGTGGTACCGATATAGACACAAGCTGCTATTGCGTGCTGACTAGCGTCGGTGAAAACGAACATCGTGCACGCTTCGTCATATGGGGTAACTTTCCTGTCTACTTCCTTGTAGAAGGTTGAAATGTCACTCGAAATTATGCGCCACTGCTCCTGTAGATACGCTGGAAGTGGGGAATCCCATCCAAATTCGTCTTTCCACAGAGACTGTAGGAATACCTTGGCTGGCAATAGAACGGGAACGAGGAGTCCTAGAGGGTCATACACCGAGGCTAATTGTCGTGACACCGTGCGCTTAGTGATGACTTTACTCGAGGCCATAACCCCCTTTAACACAATCATGTCACTTTTGGGGTTCCATTGCAGTCCTAAGACTTTAGGTTGAACAGCTTTCGTACGGTCTTCCTTCCTTATGGTTTCGTTGAAGTGGTCATCATTTGAAAGAAACTCTCTCAAGTTCATGTTCAGACCTTCGAAAACATCCTTGACTACATGATACTTGTTGAGTGCATCCTCCGATGATTCTGCGCCTAAGATCAAGTTATCCACGTAGAGATTTCTTTTGATCTCCTTGGCTATATCACATGGTGATGTCATGTTGTCCAAGTGAAAATCTATCGTTGCTCCTAGAAGGAATGGTGACGTGTTGAGTCCGAAAGTAACTCGGGTGAATCTGTATACAACGATATTGCCAGGTTCTGGTGGAAGGTTGATATTCCGAATCCACATGCAACGAGTGGCATCTCTGTCTATCTCCTGTAATCGCACCTGTAAATAGGCCTTCTCCACATCCGAGATGATTGCAATGTTGTGCGCCCTGAATCTGAGTATTATTGCCACCATGTCTGGGAGTAGCAGGGGGCCTTGATGCTCATTGAGGCACGGCTTATCCTTATAATGGGCGGATGCATCGAACACTATTCGCATCTTTGTGGTTTCCTTCGATGGCGTAATGACGGCCTGGTGCGGCAAGTAGTGAACAACTGCTCCTTCAGGAATTTCCTCATCTGGCACCTCCTCGATTATTCCTTTTTCGAGCTGTTCTTTGAAAATACCGTCATACTGAAGCAATATGTCCTGCTTGTTAGCGTACATTTGCAGAACCTTGTGTAGGCGTTTCAGGGCAATCATTTTGTTGTCTGGAAGCTTGTTGTGGTCAGGCTTCCAAGGCAGCCTCACGTAGTATCCGTCCCGTCGTCGCTGTATGCTGTTGCGAAATTCCGCTAGGACCTTTTCGTTGACTTGTTAGCATCTCTGAGTGCTTAGGACCAGCAAACTCCTGTGTCCCTGAAGATTCTAGGGCCCAATACTGATCCCAACGGTCTTTTTCCAGGTCAGCTCCTGATACTGTGAGAGTTCTTACTTTCTCGACGGACAGCAAATTCGATTGACGCCCACTAATGATGTAGCCAAACTTAGTTGGTATGAGCTGGAGCCCTGATGGTAGGATAAGTTTTCCAGCTGGCATCATGAAGTTCCACAAGTAATCACATCCCAGTAGAATTTGTGGCTGTAGTTCTACCGATTTTTCAGGAACTGATAGTTTTATCCCATGCTTGGATATAAACTCAAGGTCGTTCAGATCCAGTTCTGCTCTCTCGATTGTGCTCGTAATGTAATCGCTATGATGGAGACGGATTTCATGATGGCAACCTTCGATATCCCGCAATTGTAGCTTCGTTACGTCGCACAACCTTTTCGATGGGATCTTTGACCCAAATGTACTGATAGCAGGGAGATAGTCTCTTCTACTGGTAGTCCTAAATCATGGGCGAATCGGCTGCATATAAAGGACATTTCTGACCCAGTATCCAACAGCACGGTGGCGTTCCGAATACGGTTATCCGAATCTAGGACCTCTGCCATTCCCACCAGTAGCACGACTTTGCTACGTGAGTTCTGCCCATCACGGCATTGTTCGTGCATCTGCAGGACGACCTTTTCTTCCTTTGCCTCTACCTTTGCTGCGAGCTCAGAGCTGGTTACCAGGTGCTGCTTGGATGCCTTGGTCGATTTTGCCTTAGATGGGGGAGGGTCGACCTGTTTTGGGTGTCGCTGCTGGAAAGGCTGTGAAGGAAACCCTTTGGGTGGCTGATGTTCGTTTTGCCTGAACCCTTTACTACATGTAGCGGTATAATGTTTCTCCTGGCAGATACGGCAGCCGTTACTAGGGCAATTAGCCACTCGATGTTTTGCCGAGCCACAGTTAAGGCACCTCTGGTTTTCTATGAGGAAGTTTTTCCTAGCTGAGGGCGTGGGCAGCTTTGAGCACGAAAACCACTTGTGTCCATTCTGTTTGCAGAAATCACACGGGATTATGCCTCGCTTCCTCTCTTTAGATTGCCGAAAAGAATCCTTGTCGTCATCAGGGAGCGCTTGTTTCAGCTTTTCGTCTTGAACGATTATGCCGTCGATGGTGTTGAGCCACCACTCCAGTGTTCCACTGGAATCCCCCTGCTGCTCTGCAGTCTCTATGCATTGCTCACGAGCTGTTTCTTGAAATTTCAGGCTCTTCTCTGTGGCTATTTTCTGAATTTTCCCACTAAATTTGTGTAGGAAGGTCTGGATGGTGAGAAAGTTATCCAAATGCTCACCATGATCTCTCAATTGGGCTGCTATCGCAGACAGCTTCTCAAAAAGTCTGCGTTGATCTTCCGTCCTATGGCTTTGAGCTGCACAAGTACTCAGACTCTTGTGCAATTCTAGGACGATATCCTCCCTTTGGCCATAACGCCTTTTCAAATGCTCTATAGCCTTGGCATAATTTACCGCTGTCACTTGGAAGCGCGAAATCGACTGTCGGGCCTCTCCGGTTAACGAGCTCACTAGGTAGTTGAACTTTTGTAGTTCAGTCAGCTTCCTGGTGGTGCACGTTTTCACGGAAGAGATTCCAATAATTATCCCACTCCCATCGCTTCCCACTAAAAGTCGGTATGGGGATCTGAGAGAGCTTACTCGCTGAGAGAGGGGTAAGAGGGTTCGGGAGGGGTCCTCTGGTTTCAACCACCACTTCCTCAGTATCAGTGCACTTGAGCAGCGTTTCCATCAGTGCTGTTCTGCGCTTCTGGAGGTTTATCACGGCATCATGTGCAGAGTTCACGTATTTATCGAACATCTCTGCATCTTCGCTGGTCGGGTCCTCTAGTTCATCAAAGGTACTGGCAAGCTTTTCCAATGACTCTTCTACGAGGGTGACATTTTCGTTGCAGATCTGTAGCGCTAGTCGGATTTCACTAGCACGGATCTTTTTGTCAACATCGGGAGCTATCGTTAGGAGCGGCTCACTCGTCTCTAACCATTCTAATGCAGCGTTAGTTCTCCTTGTCACCAATGCTTTTTTAGCGCGGACGGATGCTGCCATGGTGAAACTTCCTTGGTTCCTTACAACCGACCACTAGTCCAGGGTTTGACCACAGTAAATCAGAAATGCTTGGCGTGGAGTACTCAGTTGATAGCGTCTCAACAGAGAGGTTCCAAGGGGACGAGATACTAGTGCGACACCGCATCGAACATCGCACAGAACACCGAATCAAAGTCTCGCCAAATGCCAAGAGAGTCCTGCCAAGAAAGTTCCAGGAATCCTATCAATGAGAGATGCCGAAAGAGTCCTTCCGAGAGAGGTCCAGGAATTCTATTGATGAGAGATGTCAAGAGAGTCCTTCCAAAGAGTTGTGAGTAGATAGGACACTCCAAAGTCCAAATAGGAGGCCTCGAGAGCGATGCACACTGTTCAATGAAGCTGAGGCCACTGTGTTAGTGCAAGCACCGAATCTGGGGTTATTCAGGTTAATTTGAATTCTGACCTGAATCCTTGTCCGGTTCGCTATCCTCGATGCACCAATGAAGTCGGATATACAAGGATATATCGGATTTCCACAGATATAGTCGTGATACGGTACCACAAATACTTTCTGCCGCCACGCGGGTCTTTGATCTCCGACCTCAAACTTGGGTAATTAAACTTTATTCAAGGAATTTTTATCAAATTACATCACTAAATACTAAAATAATGCTATATAAGGCTTCCAGCGACAAATGGTCACCTAAAATCTACCTTTCTTCTGCTGCCGCTTCTATAGTGCAGGTTCTAAGCGGATAGGCAGCCTTATAGTGCAGTGATAGTGCTCCTGAAGATCTAATTTACAAGCAGAGACCAAAAGCTTAAATGAGAAAAAAGTAGGAAGAAAAATGAGTCACCTACGAGCTTCTCCGCCCCGCTTATATGCAGGCACCGCACAAGAATTTTCAACATCTCGGAAGGCTTCTATCCGATAAGCGCCTACGACATAGAGAAAGAGTACAGCAATCTTTCAGAAACAGAATAAGAATGTAAAAGCAGATGGATATAGATAAGCTTATGCCACAACATCGAGAAAACGACATGGGAATCGTATAGCTCAATCAAAGAACGAACAATGTTAAGTGAAATACTGAATATGTTCAGTATACATATGGCTCCCTTCTTTGCGGAGATGCACTTTTGTTCTTTGTATACTTTCGAATACTTTCTTCTCGGAGGTAAAGAGACGGAGCGACAGAACCTGCAAAGTATTTTATATAATGCTCTATTCGCACATTCATTTCCTGCTGCGCTACAACCTCATACTCCTATCGTCACTACGATACCACTGATGATACTGACCGTCACGATTACGACCCCCCCCTGTCGAGGACTTCCTCGACCGATATGCACCCTGGTTGCGAGGGAATACACCGGCTTGCAGCGTTCCAAAAATGGAGCAGCGTCGCAACGCTCGCTCCGCGCGCGGGCAGGGGAGGTGTTCCCCCGGTCGACGGACTTCTTGAGCTCAGCCCTTTAAACCTCCTCTGCGCTCTCTCACGGGTCCCTCCATCCTCTCCAATGCTTGGTCCTAAGCAGGGTCAACCCTATCGCTGTTACTTTTCGAAATTTTTTTACGACCCCCCTCCTCCAGGTTGGACTTGATATCAACCCCTTTTCCACACCTCGACCGCCATCATATATAGCTACTCTGAAACAGTAAAAATCCCCTATATCTCCTATACTTACCTAAATTCCCATATTCCCACCTCTTCATTTTCTAGGGAGGTACACTCTGTTTCATGCAGCCAGAAATCCACGTGGCACACGTGGCTAAATTCTCGATGAAAAGGTGACGTCACGTGTGCTCAAAGATGTTCTTGAATCGATGCCACGTTAATGCCACGTCAATTTCTGCAATTGCACAATTTCTGGTCATTTGAAGGCGAGGGTATATATTCGCGCTGAAAGGGAAATTTTTTTCTGCGCCCCTCAACTCACCCTACCTACCCATAAAAACTTCAGTTTCACCTCAAACTCACATGTGATTTCAAGCGACTGAAACGGGTACGACCAGGGTCAACCGTCCGTTCGAACTGTTCGAACGAAGGGGTCGCATTTTGGTCGGAAGGGGGTCGCAATTTCGAGGACTGCCAGCCACAGGCGCGTGCGTGGCGTATCCGAGGGCAAGAATTGCTTGTGCAGACCGCATTAGATTCGATTTATTATGCACAGAGAGACAGTTTTAGGCAAATTACGTGTTTTCCTTGAGGAATAAAGAACAGTTGAATGCATCCCTATGAAAGGTTTGACTTCTCGGGGCTGAAATTAAAGTTCTTCGGGACCTAATTTTCTGGGACGATTCTTCCAGACAACGTAAAACATAAGAAAGCAGAAATCTCGTAGTCTTCAAAAATGTCTTCGCCCCTCCCCAACAAGTTCTTTGAAGGAAGTTATTATTGCTGAAAGCTCAAAAACTCGCATGTGCTGCTCAAAAACCTATGGGAACAAAATGTTCGAACGTGTGATTTTCTCGGAAAATGGATTTTGAAAAACGGTTTGGTGCTTGTTAGAAAGAGCAAATCCTGTACTTTCACCCCATGAAAAAAGTGCATCACAGAAATGAAAATGAAGTGAGTTATGGTCGCTGAAAGCCCAAAAACTCGCTTTTGCACGAAAAATGTTCGAACGGGACAATTTTTTGAAAAAGGGGACAATCACTAAACTTTTTATACTGTTTTGTTAGAGAAATATTTGAAGTTTCTGAAACTTTTTACAGATTTCCAAAATGTCGCATACGAAAGATTTTATGGGCCTTCAAAGTTGAAGGTGCGCCTTCTTAGAATTTTGGGTTTTCCACTTCTAACAGAAGTACTTTCCGGAGAGTTAGGCAATCCTTGTAGTTTTCTGAAGCGCACCTCAGGCACAATCAAAATCTACCTCAACAAGTCAAAAAATACGTCCCAAGAAAGTTATTCCCCTCTAAAATTTTTTCTTCGCCGCGTCCCGTTCTTCCAGCGCCCGGGTGATACCTGCCGCGCTCCAAGGCCGACGCGACGACGCGCAGACGCTTTCTGGCGCAACGGATTCATGTCTAGCACTCTTATTAACAAAAACAGGGGGTCGCAACTGGACCCCCTCGAGAGCTAGGGGGTCGCAAAAATCCCGAAAATGTTCGAACGTGACGGTTGACCCTGGTACGACCCCCCTCCTACAAACTCAACCAAGTACGACCCCCGTTGTTACTAGTAACAACGTAGGGTTGACCCTGGTCCTAGGTCCTCTAATCGTCTATGCTCTAGCCATCGCGGCAGGACCATTGAGGAAAAATCAAGTAGTTCGTGAACCGTGCTCCCCCGCGTGCCGCCTCGTCCTACGTGGGGCCAAACCGCCACACGTGCTATCCTCCGCGTTCTTGATCAACTTCGCTTAGTATAGTTGGCGAGTTTGCTCGACGCATTCTCTCTCCGTTGAGGCACCGATAAGTGGGTGCCGAGCACACATGAAGAATCGATGACGCGTGACATTGCACGCTCCACTGCAACGTAGAGGGTTACGGTAAACTGCCTGTGTTCCTGAACTTACCCTTCCCTTCAAAAAGGCAGAAATTGTGCGGTGCAGACCATACACCACAAGTGACGACGGCCTCCAAGTAAATCTGGTTAGTAGTGGTTCATAGTGATAGCTGATTTTTGTAAATGATAGTTGTAATTAGTGACAACTGATAGAATACAACTGCAACAGGCTAATCATTTCATTGGCAGAAAACATTTGCATTTTGTGGAGGCCGTCGTCACTTGTGGTGTATGGTCTGCACCCGACACTTTCTGGCTTTTTGAAGGGGAGGTTATATGTAATCTTCTCTAGCACAATCCTGAAATTATAATCCTCTCTCGCATTGAACCGCTCGCACGCTAAGGCGAAGCCTTCATCGCGGATTAGCGGAGTTCCATCTGTGGTCGTTCCACCCTGTGGCTGAGTCGAGTCTTCGACACATTCCACCTTCTATGGTGAAGAAGCTCCTCATACTTGGCGCTCTTTTCGTCGTGAAGTGTGCTGAGAATACGGCAGGAGTACACGTTACGGTGGAACCAATACAACGTGCTGAAGAATGGTTGCACTCCCGAAAAGTAGATCACGTATCGCACACCTTCTTGAATAGCCTTCTCCCGGCTCACGCTATACGGTTTGGCTTGCTTTACCCAGGAGATGAAGCTCATATACATAAACCTTACTTGTCCCTACTATATATAAAGCGCTAAGTCTGTCTGTCTATGGTGGCGGTGTCCGTTCCTCCAAGTGGTGCCACTGGGAACTGCTCACTTTGTGAGCTGAGCTGAACACGGACATTCGAATGCAGGCGACAGGCCCCCGTGACAGGCCGGCCTACGAACACCCACGTCACATCACAAATGTCAATGTCGCTATATGATTTCGAGATAATGCTACGGCGTCCGCGGGAGCCGACGCGCACTCGCAAAGCCCGGCGAGTGTGAAAAGTATGCGAGGGTCTCCGGTGCAAGGACGGCATCGGGGGGCAACTAGGCTAGTCCAAAAGCCATGCAACGTATCGAAGACCCGCGTTGCAACATTAAATGTTGGCACGTTGACGGGCCGCTCCAGCGAGCTGGCAGAAGCGCTAGAGCGCCGACGAATAGACTTCTGTGCCGTGCAGGAAACGAGGTGGTCCTGCTGCAAGTCGAGGGACATTGGCCGCGGCTTCAAAGCCGTTCTCTGTGGCGGTCCCAAAACCACCAATGGCGTCGGGATGATTGTCTCTGAACGCTTCCGTGATTCGATAGTGAGCGTGGAGCGCTTCGACGACCGATTAATGAAAATCATTGTCGTCATCGAACAACGAAAATACCACTTCTTCTCTGCGTACGCTCCGCAGACCGGATGCTCCGAGCAAGCAAAGACAAGTTCTGGAATCCTGCTTGATGAGAAGACAGCTGAGGTTCCGTCACAAGAAGCTATAATTGTCGCAGGTGACCTCAATGGGCACGTTGGCGCTACGAAAGACGGTTACAGCTGTCACGGGTGTTTTGGATATGGGTCACGTAACACTGATGGCGAGCGAA